GCAGCAACTGTAGCAGCAGTAGCAGTACCAGTAGCAGTGGCAGAGGCAGGAGCAGGAGGAGGAGGAGCAGTAGTCGTCGTCGTCGTTGTCGAGCAGCTAGCAAGATGCCATTTCCAAACCATCGAGGCAATCGTCCAAGCATGTTCAGAAACCCAGCGGCCACGAAGCCACATCCCTTTCACCCAAGCCCGCAAATAATTAGCTTCCGTGCCTCTGCTCACTACAAAGTTCTGCTGCTACACTGCTCCAACTCCTAGTCAAACTTGTCGGTTGTTGAATCTAGACATAAATAAGTTCTTCTCAGGCCCGAACAAGGGAAAAGATAAAGTGCGTCCCAAAGGCCTACCTACCCTAAACCCTATACCCTAAACCCTATTCGCTCCGCACGGCGGCATGCCCGCAGCAGGGAGCGGAAAGCCGCGCGCTCGGCCGCCATGACTTCAGCAGTTCTTTCGGGGGCTTTCGCTCCTTTTCAGTCATTTTTTTCAGTTTTATTTTCAGTTGCTTTTTTTTTTTTCAGCTTTTTGTTTGTGAATCTGCGCCTCTCAGATGCATTTTTGCCGGGGCTGTGTGATGCGTCTAAAGTAGGCTCGGCTTTTGGGGTTCGTGGCAGGTTTGGAGTCTGAACCATGGGCCAGGCCCTTCTGAAAGCATTCTATGCATTCTGTGAATTACAACATGTGGCGTTGCAGGGGTCGTGGGCTGGCCGTCTGAAACCGAAACGTCGAGTATGCACGGGGGCTTGGCATTGGCGGAAATCTCACTTGCAGGTGCTAGCAGCCAGCAGCACAAGCAGGATCTCTGTGAACGGAGAGCCCCCCAATCACTCAGGCATCTGCTGGAGCAGCAAGTGATAGCTTTTTTGCGTCAGGCAACAGGCATTGTGAGGTATTCGGGTTCTCTGCATGATTCGTCGCAAACAGCAGAGTAGACTGAGTAGACGATGTCAGAAGGCCTGAGCTGCATGCTCCTTCTGGCAGCAGCAACACGCAAACATACAGCTACCACCCGGTGCTCTGCTTAGGGTTTCCATTGGGGTTGGGGTTTAGGGTTTAGGGGTTGCTCCAGCAACGATTGCAGCCTTGCATCAAGCCATGCAGCACGTCCTTTGGTGCTTGGACAGCCACAACCGGATGGTCACACGGCTGCTGAATCAGTTTCATGCACCTGGAAACTACAACTGATTCAACCACCGGGTCAAGATATCTTCCAGGTGCCAGAAACTGGCACTGCAATTGACGTGGGCCGTGTAGTCTGACGGCACACTCTCGCGATCGCGAGAGTGCTCGAAGGTCTTAGGTGGTCTAGGCTTTTATGGGGCTTATAGGGAATTCAAGATTCAGGTAGACATGGGTTTATAGGGCTTATAGGGAATTCAAGCTTCTCCAGGTCTAGAGATGTGCAGGGCATCAGTTGGGCCGGGCCAGTTTTGGCCCTAGACTCTAGACTGCCGCAGGCACCGTCGTCTCCGCCGCGAGCCTCGCGAGCTCCTTCCAGGAGAGTTTAGGGTTTAGGGTTTTAGGGTTTAGCGTTTCATGGTTTAGAAGTCATCGGAACTGGCTCAACTGGGCAAGCTTCCCAAACTGAAACAGCCATCCTCATCCCGTCTTCATGATGATGATCATCATTACTCTCGCCCTCGCCCTCATCATCGAAACCTGTCCTTGGAAACGTACACACGCAGGTCCACGACGTCCTTGCAGCATCACTGGCCGACTTCACACGAAATTGGACTCGCACTCCCAGCTTTGCTTCGACGGCACAGAACACGTACTTGCGACGGCTTGTGGCAGGGGTATAGGTCCATAGAACCTCCGAAAGCAACATCGTGTCATGCCGTGATTGCAAGCGTTTGCGAACACCCTTGTGGTTGACGACGTACACCGGGAGTATGTGTGCTCGCAAAATCCCGAACCCATTCGGTTCTGTGGGTCTGAGCAAGACTAACTTGGCTACGTGTGGCACGAAAATTGAGTGCAGCCCCCTTTCCTTCAGTTTTTGGAGTACGTATCTGCGGAATTGTCGGCGTTTGCACTCGATAGCTCAGATGGAAATACGGAGATGTCGGCCCAAGGAACCAAGGTAGGTCCGCAGGAGCGTAGCTTTCCGACTTCGACATCACCATACGTGAGGCCTTTCTTCAGCAATTAGAAGGTTTTGTGGTATGTTACAATGATAATGAGGGAATCCCTGGGAATAGTATAGACTGTTCAAGCTGGCAAAAGTCACAATCTTCCCGTCCCAGCCTTGACGGTGGCCTGGCTGCTGCCGCGGAACCTCAGGAAGCTGTGTCTTGATACGATGTACTATGCCATACTATGCCTATGCTATTTACTTTGAGTTTTGGCTGTCTTAACCCTACTTTCCACTCTGATCTGAGAGAAAGTAAAACTATCGTCAACGAAAACGTCAAACCAGACGGAAGTGCAGGTGTAGATTGCAACGTGGGGTGCGATTTCAGCGACCGGGATAGGTCAGCTTGCTGGCTGGCATCGGGAGTCGTACATCGCAACTCTCAATCATTGCACCCCAATTAGGCACCCACTATGTCAAAGGCTGCTTTGCCCGTGTCTGTGTACTCTCACCGAGAGACTGCAGCACAGTCTCGACAAAGTCCTCCAAAGTCAAAGTCGGTGTGTCTCTGAAGACAAAGTCGGCCTCAGGATCTCGAGTTTAGGGTTTAGGGTTTAGGGTTTAAACCCTTAACCCCTAAACCCCTAAGAGTAGGGCTAACGTGTACCTTCAGGGCCTTTAGGGTTTACTGTTGATGATAAAAAATCCTGCATGACCTTAAGGACCCTAAACTATGGGAATTCTGGTACACTCCTTACTATGGGTAATGCAGGATTGATAGTATCCACCGTAGGATTCTGAGCTGTTTCAACCCCACTCTTCGCTTCACGGCATCCTGGAGCACCCCTTGGGCGGGGCCCTGCAAACCAAGGACATGCAGCCGGCTCTTAGTTGCTGCACAGAAGAGTGTACACCTACCCAAAGCCCTATGCAGCACCGCTTTTATGGAACCCTACAAGAAACAGTACCTTAGTTGCTGAGTTCATAAGCACAGAAAAGTGTACACTTTCAGTTCTATAAGGGGTCGTATTATCCCAAAAAGCTTATAAAGTGTAGTCATTCAGCTACTAAGCGCTTCGACTCTCGCAGCGCTCGGACGCTGCTTCGGGAAGGGGGGAAAGCGCATGGGCTCGCAAAGGTCGGCTACCAGCAGGTTAAGGGTTCGAAATGTGTTCTGAAAAAATAACTGTTTCAAAAACAAGTTTCTTTATAGAATAAAGATAGTCATTGAAGGTTTATATGCTAAGACACGCGAAACGGAAACCCTACAAGTGCCTACTGCGACTTCGCTGCTTCGGAACTCACATGCTCGTCTCTAGTCAAAACCCTAGCCCATGAACCCTGAACACTGCTATACAGGAGTTAGGATTAGGGGGACCCTTGAAAATATAGACCCCCTCAATAGGGTCCCTTTTAAGAGAGCCATAAGTAGGGTTAAGAAGGGTCTCCCTTAAGGGGGGGTCTCCCTAGTACTACCTAGGATTATAAGCCCTCAGCTCATGTCGCGTCCAGCGGCGTAGTCGACCAGCGCTAGGACGTTGACACCGCCTTCGTACCTCAGCCCAGAGCTTTGCCCGCTGATTCTTGCAGGCAGAGTCCACCTCCTACACAGGAGCTTCTTAACAATTAGTGGGTCTTTTTTCCAATTTCGGCCCTTAGAGGTAGGGTCTGACTACTAATTAATGTATTTACGGCTCATCTGGATGAAGATTCATTATTTCAACTCCCATGTGGGCTTTCATGGATCTGTGTGGTCGTGCTGTTCTTGGCCTCGATGCTGGATCTGTTGTTAGCAACAGCACTATACGGCAGCTGAGGAAAGCGCAGTTTCCGAACCGCTTCTGGATTCTGGATCCTCAGACAGGCGCAGGGGCATGACATGCTGAATGCAGCTGACAAGGGGTCAAATTCGGACCTAGCACAGCAGAACACCGTCCTTCGGCTCCTGACATGAACGAAACACTGGCGAGGCCACGCAGCAATGACCATGACTGACTGCCTCGTTTTGAGTTACGATCCAAAGTCTTCAGCCAAGGGTCATGTGATTAAACTCCACAGAGGTCACAGTCTGATCCTCATTCTCATCGGTAAGCTTCACCTGGCGTCCGTCCATTGGTTTCAGAGGCTCTCCCGGTGAGATGTCACAGTGAGCCGCGATTCGAACACAAAGTGTTCACGGAACTGACTTCATAGTAGCAAGCCCAGCGAAGTACCAACCATCTCATGCTCCTTTATTCCTGAAGAAAAACTTCGAAGTTCCAAATCTCAAGCTCGCAGCCCAGGAACAACATCCGCGATGTCTCTTTTCAAGGTCTTGAGGCTCTGCTCCTGACCAGTATTTTCAACAGGTTATTTGGGCGGGTGGCGTGCAGATAGGTTGGGTTGGACAACAAGAAGGCTGCAGAAGACCGTGACGGATCTCGTATGAATTGAATTGCGTGGGCTTTCCACCGGACATGCCTTCTGCAAAACTTGGCTGTTACTGACACCACTCCGTCGAGGTGGCACCTTGAAGCGCCATACGGTTGATGATATAAATCCTGCATTACCCATAATAAGGAATATACCATAATTCCCATAGTTTAGGGTCCTTAAGGTAATGCAGGATTTATGTCATCAATAGTAGAAGTCGTGCATCCCAAGATACGACGCAAGCTGGGATCCGGGGTGCCGCCCGACCAAGAGCATCCCAACTCCAAGCGAGCAGCCAAACTACATCCCTGGACTTAATGGGCAGGGCTACTACTATTATGATACCGTGCTTGCGAGATTTTCTTGTCACGTACTTCTGAAAACACGTCTGCCCAGTTTGGTTTGAAGCAGAGCTCCGTACCTGTGCCTGCCCCTCCAACCGCGAGCTCTTTGCTGACTCCACTAGAACTATTGAGTAGTGCGATTATTACCTGGAAAATCACCAATAATCTGAATTAGTCTTACTAACCCGAAACCCTAAACCCCTAAACCCTTAAACCCTAAACTAGTGAGTCAGTATGGAAGAGGAAGAGCTGGAGGAAGGCCTTCACTGGGCCTTTAAAGGAGCCGTTTTTCCGGGGTGGGGGCGAACAAAAAGACCAGAGGCCAGTTGCACACCTCCTGTTCTATCTGGGCGGTGTTGCCAACGACATCCACCATGACACCGATAAGCATGTTCCTGGGTTTTTTTGGGCTTATGGACACGGATAAGCATGTGCCTTGGGTTTTGTGTTAGGGTTTACATAGGGTTGTATGCTCGGTCGTCCACGGTATGGTTTTGTCACGACAACACCCCGAGCAAACAGCGTCTTGCTATTGACGGGCCTCGCCCCAAAACCCCCGTCAAGCTGTGAAGGGCGGCTTAGGTGAACCCTCGACATCGACATGCTTTCTCACATGCAACAATCTACGAAGTTACTGCCGCCTGCTTGATTAAGACCTGTTGTTGGCCGGAGTACTCGAAACACAAGCGTCGCGGCTAAAAGCTAGTTCGGACAAAGACATGAGGATTCCCCATGGAAGCACATTGGTGCCCCTTCTGGACTTCTGCGACTTGCGCACGCTACTCTTGCTCTCTTTTCATCGTACACAACCGTGCGGAGGCCGTGTTGCACATGGGTATCCAAGACTTCGCCAGGCGGCATCAATGTGAGGGAGCCTGCAGCATGAAGTTTAGGGTTTAGGGTTTCATGGCTTCTGATTTGATCATCTTGGTTGGCTACGTGGAGAGCACCTCCGGCACCTACAATGTTAGATATGTTAGATGTTGAATTCCACGACTTCGAGGCTGTGGACATGAGCACCACTTTCTAATCCTATCTATATATATATATATATCCCCCAGCAGCCACTTGTTGATGGGTGGAAGTGAGGCTGTGCCGCATCCCGGTCCCAAAGGGCGCGCCTACCAGCTGGTATGCGAGCATGAAGGCGAAGGAAAGCGCGTCCGCATTCATCATGTCCATCATGAAGTGATAATCGAAACCTTGGCCGGCCGGCCGTCTCTCTGGTTCTCTCTCCCTCCGGGTTTGCGCGCTCCCACTGGAACCAGCTGTGGAGCTGCTTTGCTCGAGCTGCACCCCAAGGCGCAGACTACGGACCGCACACCTGAAGATCTATTGCAATGCTTGAAGTATCGCGAGCTGTGGCGAGAGATAGCATCGTCATCGGCGTTTCTGGAAGAATGCCATTCCGTCTCTTTCGGAATGAAATCGGTTTTAGGGGTCTGCGGCGAGCTGGTCTGTGTGCCAGATCGCAGACTTCCAGCACTTGAATGATGGCATGCCGCCTGCATTCAGGTCGAGAAGTTCTTGTGACCGTGCCCAGGATGCTGATGTAGCAAATTTCGACAAATAAAACACGCAGACGGCTTACAAGCGCTTGCTTGCAAGAGGTTCGATGCGCCAATGCCGCTATCGGAAGGAACGGCTGTGGAGCTCAACGCCGAGCAATGTTTAGTAACATCTAGCTATGGGAGCTTCTGCCACCAAGGTTGTGGCCGACAGCACTACAGGATGAAAGCTGCAGTTTCGGAGACTTCACTCTATGTCTAAGGCGATATCTGTGGTCGCAAGATCTGTGCATGAATCAGCTTGCCGGCTTGCAAGTCTGAAGCGGGTGGACAGTCGCAGCTGTGGTTGTTGCAGTGCGACATTCTGGATGCGCTTGAGAAACCGATCGCGGGAGGGTCTGAAATGCCTTCAAAGTCACCACAGAGTGTCTGCAGGAGCAAGAAAGTCGTGGCTTGCGGGACGCTGTCAAAGCGCCCCCCACCAATACCTGGTCTGAGATGCTTGTGATACATCGGACTCGGACATGCTGTGTCTCCGTTTCAACCTATTAAGTCCAAACAAACTGGCTCCCAGGATCTGCCCAGATGCTCTTGTTCTGGAGCAGCTGTGTCATGGCCACTGCGAAGGTGTATGTTACAAGAACGAGTAGGAGGAGCGTCGTGAGGACCGAACGGATCGCCTGGGCGCCATAGCTCGATCTACTGCGCAGCCCTCCAGGCTCTTAGCTACTTGAGTGCTGCTTCGGAGGCAGTGGAATCAGCATCTGCAAACTGTCCCTAAACCCTACAAATCCCGCCAGTCACCTGGAACATGCCGTGGAGAAGGATCATCAGCTCTGGGACAAAGCGGAAGATTCGGCTCATCCGGAAGGCGCGGGTAATCCGTATCCTTGGCGGTTTCTTCCGGGGTTGAAAATGAACCCTATAAACCCTAAACTCTAATTGTGAGACTTTTTAGGGCTTGGGGTTTAGGGATGTCGTGCTGATGCTGCAAGCTAATCAACACGCCGGGGTTGGAGCTACGCATACATGAGTGCGTACATGTCTGCAGGTATGTACCGGTGTAATACGAATGGATATACACGTATACATGTGCGTATGCATGTGTGTATATATATATGTGTGTGTGTATATACACATACATACACATGTGTGTGTAGAGAATATGGTATAGAAGAACCTGTGAATATTTGTAGCGTGTGAGCATACACATGCCTCTCTGAGGTGCCACCGGAATTCTCTAGCCCTGGGTACCTGTTGACAAAGGTTTCACATCTGCACATGATCCTCTCGCGAACAGGTTGATGCTTCATTGTAAGTTCAGATAATATCCTGTGGGGCCGTATTCTTGTCACTCATGTTCTGCCACTAGCAAAGGAAGCAAAAACATATCAAGCCTCGAAGTAGCTCCCGAGGGGCATGAGCAGTGACATACGAGTAGCATCCGCCTGCTTTCACCCCAAACCCCAAACCCCTAAACCCTTAACCCTAAACCCTACAGCTCTTCAGCCCTCAACCCCTAAGCCCTTCCCCTTGCAACTTGTCATGACCTGCGGGATCTGCAGCTGTGCATCAGCCGCAGCGCTCGCAGTGAAGGCGTGATGCCTCGCAAGTCTGCATATAGGCTGAAAGCATAGTGTACCGGATCGGCTCTGCAACCTCACTCACAAATCGTTCACCTATCAGAAGACACAGAGACAGAAAGATAAGTGCAAACAGACAGACCAAACAGACCGACACATACAAAGACACACACAAACACACACACACACACAAACACAAACACACTCTCTCTCACACACACACAGAGACAGACAGACAGACAGACAGACAGACAGACAGACAGACAGACAGACAGACAGACAGACAGACAGACAGACACACACACACATATGCGCGCACACACACACACACGCGCGCGCAAATATGTCGACAAGAGTAACTCCACGCTTGCAGCATGGAGTAACTCGCACGCTTGCAGCATGGACCCACCTCTGGCACTCATACCCCTTCTTCCCCAAGGTCTTCTCTGCCCGTTTCGCAAGAATTGGAGTCCAGACCCCCATGAAACAGATGCCGCACTATTTTGGGGGACCTCAAACAAGACCCCCTAATTTAGCGGACTACCCTTACCTCTGTTATAGTACACCGATGCATTCACCAAAAGGGGCGGATAGAGTCGGCTACGGCTCGGACTCGATCCAGCGTTTATACCCTTTCAGGGTGTGCTTTGGGATTTTCAAGGGCTCCCGGACCCGCGCAGTGCGCGGTACATGCGAAAGAACACCGACTGCAAAGCTCAAAGCGGCCCTAAACCCTAGACTCTAAACCCCTAAACCCTTAACCCTAAACCCCAAAGCCCTAAACCCTAAGCCCGACTGCAAAGCTCAAAGCGGCCTGGTGAAGACTGATGCTTGTGGATGCCGACACCGGCCGCCACCAGCATCCAGCCCCAGGTTTCGACGGCCATGGAGACCTTGAGCGATGCTTTTATATAGGGCGTCTGCAGTACAGGTATACCCATAGGCCCCTAAGTAGTTCTTGTGGTTTATATTTAGAATCCTAAAAGGCAATCCCCAAAAATAACTACTTAGGGGCCTATGGGCAGGGCTGCTGTCTTGCAGGAAGACATAATACTCAACAAGTATATCCAGATCATAACAACAGCATCATGAGCCTCATCTTCTTCTTCAACCTTTATCAGAATCATGACAGCATAAAGAAAATGACAATAACGATGAAACAGACTACGTAGATTGGGAACTACTGCAGCAGAAGAGAAGAAATGCAATACAACGGGCAACAATAACAATAACGACAGCGATGTTAATCATGTCTAAGAGTGGTGACACTAAGAACTGCATCTTTTACGGAACCAGCTCAAGTGATGATGCATGCGAAGTTTGTCGAGGCCAGGAACACTTCAGATCACAATGCAGCTCATCCGGAAAAAGCACACGGCATCGTAGAGTTACAGAAGCGTGTGGCTCAAAATCATGTTCCTTTCTTGTCCTCGCCCATCTCTCTCCTACCTGAGCTTCCGGCAGCCAAGAAGAGGTCGAAGAGGAAGGAGTTATCCGAGAGGGCATCCCGAGGCACTTGGTAGGCAAGCCATCGAATGGAGATCTCGAAGCAGAAATATGCCTTGGCAGTCGAATATATTTGGGCCTTGAACAGCAGAGTAATTGGGGTTTGGGGATTTATCAGTGTCATTGCTCAAAGTATAATTGTATCGGAACCCTAAGGGGATGCTACTAATTACGGGTTATGCCCCGACACTACGACATAGAGCACGGTGACTATCGCTCGGTGCGAAGCTAAGCCGCACAAATCAAGTTGTCCATGAGGAAGAACACCCCGTCCCCTTGTCCCTGGTTGTAGTCCGTGTCGATGGCAATCCAGAAAGTGCTCAGCAGGACCTGGGTGGAAGCTGGAGGTCTGAGTACCAACATAGAAGTCTTCAGCCCAATAATCTCTCTGCAAACTAGGCAACGATGACCCCCAACACCGCGTTCTACTTATGACACGTCCCTCTTTTACACCTAAAGCGCCAGAACTTCGAGGCTCGCGATGGATGCTTCAGCTTTGACCTTCTTGACCACGACAGCTAAGCCAAGATGGGGCGCTTGAGTTGCGAGGGTTGCTTCTTCGACACAGAACTAGGTTTTAAGAGCTGGTTCATCTTGGAATCTGAGAATCAAGACTCTCACACCTCAACAGCCGAAGATTCAGCAAACTTCGATTTGATCTCCTGCGAGGTTCATGGGCTGACGAGGACAACACCCGAGGAGCCCTCCACTTCCTAGAAACCGGTCGGTGAGAGCCACCCACTCCTTACAATATGTCACCCGGGAGTACCCATGGGCTCCTTAGTAGTTCCTTCCTGTGGTTGGTATTTAGGATCCTTTAAAGTAATCCCAAAAAGGAACTACTAAGGAGCCTATGGGTATGCACTCAAGAAGGGCGAGAGGCCATCGCCATCGTGAAAGACTTGAAGACAGAGCTTCGAGCAATGGCCTTGTATCACTTTGGGGTTTTTGGGGCTTGGACGGTGTGAACCTCTTCGGTTAGGGCATCCATAGAGCACTCCGAATCGCACAAACCCCTAAATAGTTAAGCTAGTAGTAGCGCAACCTTCAACAAGAAGACGTGCACAAGCAGAGCTTAATTGATTGCTTGGCTTCTTCTCCTTGAATGTGCCCTGCGCGTGCCTACGCGGTGACACAACCTCGCCTTCGTAGCCTACGCAAATAGGGATGTTCCACATCTCTTTAATATTAAACTCCTAAACGGCTCAAACGGTGTGAGTGTGATTTCTTCTCCCAAAATCTGGCTTCAAGTTCCAACAATCCGGATCTACTTGCAGGATTGGGATCTAACTACTATGCCCCTCACCTTGGGCAGGCTGTACCAACCTCTGCCTGCCCCTCCCTGCGCGGCCTGACAGCAGCCAGTCTTAGAGTAAAGCTTCTCCGGATCCAGGACCTGGGATTTAGGGCTTCGAGGTTTTGGGGCAGAGTATATCACAGTCCCTAGGCGATCCCGAAGCCCTGAAGGGAGGGATCTATGGCTTTTCCGGTGGAATGTAGGGGCCTTCTTGAGGCTTACACTGGGGTCGGGGGGGACGGGGGGGTGAAGCGTACTACGATTGCACAGGGGCTGTCATTACGTCATTACGTATTGTTCAGGGGAGCATGTTACCCGCAATGTAGCCCTGTATGCCAGCTGAGGTTACCTGCGGTAAGCCAAACGCATTTTGAGAGGCTTGTCTTTTACCAAACTACAATAACCGCGAGAAGGCCCCAATGCAGCCCTTCAGTCACCCCAGACCATGACATGACGCCCCTGTCGCCAAAGGGGTGTTTCGTATCGCAATTATTTTGGAGCCAAGGAACGTCCTTGTTGTTGATGCTGTCCATGACGCTCTTCCTGTCTAGTGCATCATGGAAACATCTCAACCCTGCCATCTCCGGAAGCTCAAGTGCGGAATTAGGTGCGAGCCCACACCCTTTTTGCAGGTCTTGCAGAACTGCATCGCCCTTACTTTGTTTGTCCAAGACGCGCCAAGGATTTGATCTCCTTCGGTTTCGTCAACACCGGCTTCCTCGGCAGAATTATGCTTACGTCTGCAAGCATGCCGGCCTCGTCAACCAGGGCCTACTGGATCCTCGCTGCTCAGGGCGGATTGGTGCGGAACCATTGCTTTCAAAAGGGCAAAAAGCTGTCAACAAGTGTGAATGTGGCTGTCAAGCCTACAAGCAGTTCACATCCAAGCAGCGAAAGGTGTCGCGACATGGAAATGCTCTTCGTCGGGCTCATCGGAGACTGGCCGAAGCATTCGCTGGAGCTTAAGCCCTCGAGTTAAGCCGAGAGGGTTCCTCAACGCAAGTCCTACCCGTCATCCCAAGTGCACACGCCATCTAGTTGTTCGAATGTCAACGGCCAGAGAAATCAATGTTGAGTCTTTCAGTGCCATCCGAAACATCCGCACTTAAAACTACGACTATACGGATGGAAACGCAAGCACCTCCACTGCCAACCTCGATGCAGCGCGCCTGCAACCAATTGTGAGCTTGGGCTATGCATCCTATCTTCTCGCGAGAGAACCTGTGGGCAGCTGGAGATTTCAATTAGGGCCTTAGGGTTAGGGTTTAGGGTTCAGGGTTTAAGGTTTAGGGTTTAATTAGGGCTGCTCGGTTCCAGGCCTCCGCAGAATGCACTTGTCGCCACTCATCACAGCTCGAAGCCCGAGCTTAAGGAGATCCAGTCCGTAAAACTCTCCATGTTGCCAACCCCGCTTGGTATAGTGAATCTGGCTGAGTTACACTACATTGCCGGCATTCTGGGAAAGCCTAAACCCTAAACCTCAAACCCTAAACTCCTAAACCCAAAACCCCTAAACCCTAAAACATGCTTTGGGTCGGCTCCTCTTTCCGGTCCCCTGTTTACGGCTCGGAGCCAGCCGCCCCATTGATCAACAACCCGTGAGGCCTCTGAAAATACGGTTGATGGATATAAATCCTGCATTACCCGCAAAAGGAATACACCATATTTCCCATAGTTTAAGGTGCTTAAGGTTACCTAGAGGCTCCATATACATTACCATTATGGAATTAGGCTCCCAAAACCATAATAAGGATGGTCTTTTGGGGCCCAATTCCATAATGGTAGTCTATATGGAGCCTCTTGATTATGCAGGATTTATATCATCAACACTAGGAAGTCCCGGCTCTCAAAGGTTTCTTGGCTGAAAGGTCGAATCCCTTTAAGGAAAAGGCGAAGGATGACGCAGTGAGCTTAGAGTTTAGGCTTAGGGTTTACGGTTTAGGGTCTTACGGGCAGCTTCTTACTGGTCGTTTCTGGCCCTGGCTCGCCATAACCAGAAATGGATTGCCATGCAGCCCGAATTCGCTTTGAAGGAAACCAGACCGTGCTGCCTGCAGCGCGAGCCGAACTGCAAAGCCTTCCAGGATTGCAGGTGGAGCTGATTCACCCTGCAACACCAAGTCGCATGAAGAATTTGCGCAGTGCGGAACATATGCTTTTTGCTACCTGCCTGGCCAGGGCAAAGCCCGTGCGGCAGGGTTGCTACTGGACAAAACTTCGCCGAGGGGTCGATGGAGCAGGACCAATCGACGAATTTGGTTCGTCAGAAACTCGAGCGAAATGCTCTCTAGGAGAAAGACCAATCGATGGCAGCCCGAAGCCGAATCCTTCAAGTTGAAAGCATCCCTATGGGGGCTGGCTGATATGATTCTAATTCCTCGGACAGCTTACTACTTATATTACATCTGAAACCGGAGCCGGGGTGCATGGCTGCGCAGTGACTCTCGAGAGAACGAGACAGGCAGCTGGGGCCTCATGTGATGTGCCGACTTTCGTGTGGAAAACGTGCGCGTGTACACATACCCATATCAAGGGACAGAGCTGATGCAAGTCGCTTTGAGGGATTATATGTATGTACTCAATGTACTCTTTGAGACGTGCCTTCTCTCTCTCTCTATCTATTTATATATATATATATGTATATGTATATGTATATGTATATGTATATGTATATGTATATGTATATGTATATATCGCTCGCTCTCTCTCTCTCTCTCTCACGCTTCGAAAGTCTTCGATAAAGAAAGACCGAATCCAATCCCACAAGATTCACAACCTGGAAAAACAAAATCTCTCCAGGCACCAGCGTGCCTGAGGGACCAAGGGAATAAGTACACAGGTTTTGCTGGCGGGCGGTTAAGCGGGGTCTTGGGCTACAGGCAGCTATGAATAAACAATAGCTGCACAATCCCATGATCCACCAAGTGCGAACACCTGCCCGCCTATTATATACTTGCAGGCTCACATTGTCATATCAAGAACTGTTCATAGGACCCCATGATGGATTCAGTACCCCGAGAATCTAACGAATGCTCTCTGCCACATCGGGCGTGGCTGAATGCCATGGCTTTGCAGCCCGGGAATCTGCTTCCATGTACACATTAAATGGGCCCATGTGTCGGGTGCCTAGGGATATAGGGCTGTTGGGGTTGAGGTTTCCTGTATAGCATCTCCAAAAGTACGCAACCCTTGCATTAGTAACCTAACCTGAAAGCCAAACCGTAAAAGTCCCGAAGTGGCCCTCGAGCCTAAGCCCTTGTAGCAACGCTTACCCTAAACCTTAAACCCGCAAGTCCCAAAGTGGTCATGAACCCTAAGCCCTATTATAGCAACCCTCACCCTAAATCTTAAATCCGAGGTCCCAAAGTGGCCCTAAACCCCTAAACCCTGAAATCCTAAACCTTAAACCTTCAACTCGAAGCTCCAACTGCCCAAAACCCTAAACCCTAAGCCCCAAACTCTAAACCCTAGGCCCTAAACCCTATAAACCCTAAGCCCGGTCCTCTGTACGCTTAACCCCTAAGCTTGCTTGCCCCGCAGCCGGGCCCCAAGGGGGCTTCGCTCTAAGTCGATGCCGTTGGCCTTTCCGAACCCGGCGCTGAACTTGGGTTTAAGGTTACGGTTTAGGGTTGGTTTAGGGTTTAGGGTTTAGGTTAGGGTTTAGGGTCCAAGGTCTTTTTTTCCTACCCGCTTCGCTGACTACGGGTTCAGGGTTTAGGGTTTAGGTTGGGTACTGCCGCCATACAGTAACAGTCTATAATAGAGCTACTAATTAGGGGCCTTATAAATATATCCATATTATGAATATTACTCAACTGCTACTGAGTGGGGGCAGTATCCAAGCGGTAGGGGGCCTGAATAGGTGGAAAGTGTTCCGTTTAAAAGGGTTCCATAAAAGGGATACTATAAGGGATGCGATAAGGATGTAGCATGGGCCTTGGTAATTAGAATAGGGTTTATTGTGGTATATTATACTACGTATAATTATAAGAAGGAGCCACCAAATAGTATTGGTAATTAGGGGTTTAGGGGCTTCCTGAATAAGGGTCTTCTAAGGATTCTACGGGGATTTAAGGATTCCTTCCGAGGTCTTGCAAGGGGATGTTTCAGTTCCTTTAAGGGTCTTATGACGGGATTTTGGGGGTTACCTTCACAAGGGCCTTGCAAGGGAGAGGATCTGCTTTAGGGGTGCGGGGGATTCCTTGAAGGCTCTTGTAAGGGGGTTTAAGGGTTGCGGTACACAAAGGGGTACTTGCTGATTTAGGGGTTCCTGTCAGTGTGGGGTATACTGCATTATTTCAGGGTTCCATTTCAAGTCTGGTAAGGGTTCTTTTTCAGTGGTCTTACAAGGGCTCTGCTATTCCCGAAGTCTGTACGGGTTCTAGATTCTAGACTGGCTTTCAGGGTCTCCCGATCTTCACTGCTGGTACCTGTCCTTTCGTGCCCTGCCGGCAGTGCGACTACCCTTTCTCGCGTGCCCCTGAAGCCCTGCCAGAACGCTGAAACTCGCAAGCCCTAAGCCCTAAACCCTTATGTCTACACAGGCTTGATTAGTGATTTTAATGCTCGCCCGGCCAGATGTCCCGCAGCGCGTCGCACTCGTGGTGAGATGTGCAAGGCTAACTACGCATAATCTTTATCATCTTACGCACTAAAACCCGAAACTCGCAACGTCAAGGCAACCCCAAGCACAAGCCAATTCGTCAGCCAAGAGCTGAGTCTGCTCAAAACTCCTCCCTGCGTCGCGGCTCGCTTCATATCGTTGAGATACTTATAGCTAGCCGCATAGTTGTACGCAAATAATGCATAATCGCTGAGACCGAACTCTCTTAAGAAGTAGACAAAACTCCTAGATAGAAACAACCAGCCGGTAAGTTGATCTTATAACTGACCTGACTGTAGCTTGTTATCGTGCTTAGACCCTAAACCCTAAACTCTAAACCCCTAAACCCTAAATCCCTAAGCTTCTAAACCCTAAACCCCTAAGCCCTAAACCCCTAAGTGCGAAGGCTTTTGGAAGCCTTGGACTGGTGACTCGGACTTGCCCCAGGACTGATCGGCAGCAGCGGCTCCGTCAACGGCGACGAGGATGCACGCGATGCCTCCGTCCTGCAACATGGGCCCATTTAGGGCTTAGGGTTTAGGGTTTTAGGGTTTTAGGGTTCAGGGTTTAGGGTTCAGGGTTTAGGGTTCAGGGTTTAGGGTTTACACATAGGCTGCAAAGTAGTTCCTTTTTGTGGTTTATATTTAGAATCCTATGAGGTAATCCCACAAAGGAATTACTTAGGGGCCTATGGGTAGGGCTTAGGGAGGAGATGTGGCGAACAAATCGGAACAGCTGGCTCGCGGCAGGCTTTTGCCGCCTAATGCACGACGGCAGATCTCAAGCCCTGCGCGACCAAAACCTTCACCTGCGGCATCTTAAACCTTGTGCTTCAGGACTCTGGATCTATCCGACGGAAGGGACAAGCTGCGCAAACATGCCGTGTGAAGTTCGAAGACAGAGTGGGCAGTGAAACGCAAGCAGGGGCAAGCATGGCCTGGGGACTTGGGCCTGGGCGCCGCCAACACCATTGCTGCTTTGCAGCTGCCTGCGTCACTTTATCTGGTTCTCTGTTGGGGTTATATTAGAAAAGATCATGTTTAATCCTTATTGGGTTTTATTATAACAAAAATGTAAATGTTATCCAACAAGAACCCAGTTATGGTATTGAGCTCTTTGTGCAGGTCATGAAGTTTGCCACGTGGACCCAAATGCCAAAATTGAACACGGCACCTCGTGCTCATCTTGACACACGGAAAGCTCAACAATGCATCAATGTTCGGCACCCGAAGCCCGCCTGGTCAGTGCTTGGTTCAGCGACATCACCTCCGTCAGAAAAAGGCCAACAAAGAAACTGCTTGTGCCAGCAAGCACCTGTGCAAGCTCCTGTCCTTCGAAAAACCCTGAAAGACCGTCAATCGCATGCCCTGATGGGACTGTCAACCCTTCATGATGATGATGATATATATATATATGTATATATATATGTATATATATATATGTGTATATATATAAAAATAATCATACAGTGCCAATGAGAATGCTTGCGGGGGGACCTGTTGGATGGCCGTCAGCTGGCTCTGGAGAAGCCCGTGGAAGCCTGGGGTGTCATGCAGAAGAGTGCAGTGAGACGTCAGCTCTGATCTTGCATGTCTGCCTCATCTCGTCTAGACAGTAAACTATCATGATGTCGGCCATGAACCTAGGATCATGACCTATTGAGTATCATGTTTTTGATGACGGCGATGATGACTATGACCACTGCAATCAGCGTGAAGAGAAGAGCCAGGAGGAAAGGGGGGGAGGCGCTCGAAGCCACTCTGTAGCCAAGTCAAAACAATCAACAGCATCCGCTTGCTTGCGTCGATGCCACTGTTGCATGCACCCTGCCGGTCGCGACTTCAACCATCACGACTAGTGTCGTGATGATACGATATGCTACATATGGCCTTGCTGAAGACCAGGAAAAACATGCTTCGACCAGGACGACTACAGCAGGGGCCAAAGCCCTTCCCCCCTCACACACCCTAACCCCTAACCCCTAAACCCATTCGCCTGCTTCTTGCTCGCGATCCATCTCGGTCCGCGGAGCCATGCCAAATGCCATGCTGGCGAGACTCAGGTCGAGGCGGCGGGGCCAAGGAATCCAGAATTCTCTCAGCTTTTCCTAGCTATTGAAAAGGCTATAGGGGCTGGCAAAGCTGAGGGTACCTAACAAGACGAGGGCCTGGAGAAATCGGACGAGATCTGGGAGTTGTCTTCTGTATTCGAGCCGACTGCTGCCATCAAGAATCCCTCCTCCCTGTGCCAGGGGCACACCCTGCACTCCGAAAGGCGTAAGTCCTACCTTGCAGGCCGGCTATCTTGCTAGGTGTTCAGTGAAGCCCCCGGCAAAGCAATCGGATCCGGACAGGTGGAGAGCAGGAGGCCGAGGCTGTCTTGAACTGAATACAGGCACTCCTTGCCGTGGCAAGCCGTAACTCAAGGCTATCTTAAAAACTACAAGCACCTTCATGTCAGAGTCTTGTCTGCATGTCTCATCATTCTTGCATGAGCGCTGACAGAAAGGGAGTGAGTCCATTTTCCGCCATAAGACCTTCGGTCAATGCATCGACATGGATGGATGGCAGTGTAGGGCCCTACCCCCAAGGACTGAGCCCAAGTATGCAGCATGGTTTGGGATAGCAACAGTATCAACAGTTTACCTGTCTATTCCTTGTTATGTGCTTAAGTGCTCAAGTACTCATAAACTGTAAGATGTTACCCAACTATGACAATGGGGCAGCTCAGATCTGGAATCGCCGGGAGCTACGCTCCCATGGCCTCACAGTGACAGCTGACCAGATCTTCCGTTGAGGTGAATTCTGGCTTCGATTTCCTGAATGGCAACTTCTGCTTCAATGGAATCCAGGAATTAGGTCTGGGTGCTGCGGTGACATGGTGCGCACCATTATGATTTTTGCGTATTGCGGCAATGGTGGCAGCAAGCGCCAAACAAATCAAGCAAGCCCCATCAGGCACATGGGGTCCTCTTCCGATCAATTCCTTCTATGATTCAGCACCTTGCCCTGCAGAGGAAGCCTACTTAGGACAATCTTCACATGCGACCGAATCTGCCACTGTCCTCGTTTGGACGCCCGGGAGGCTCCAGCAGCCACCTAAACCCCCTGGCCCCAGCTAGACCCTAGCCCAAACATAAAAGCCTAAATGCTTACCAATAGTCTTCCTTGGGGCTCCTCAACTCTACTTCTGTATAGTATAGTGTAACATACCCCCCAAACCCTATTCT